AAAGGGAAGAAAAAAGAAAGAAAAGGAAAAAGAAAAAAATTAAAAATAAAACAAAAATGTCTAGTTCAAGGTGTGTTTCTGCTGTCACTGGTAGACAACACGGGCAAACAGAGTCCAGAGCTGAACTGACTAATCCCAGCAAGCCAGTCACAGCTTCACAGTGGGGTAGTGGATACAGGCCAGTTTCTAACATGAAGATGGAACTGGATTCCTTGAGCCTACAACAGTCTGGTGTCTCCTGCTGGCTTGAACTGTGCTCCCTGACCTCCTCCTGACTTGAACTCAGCACCAGTGCCGAGGCACCAGGAGCCACTAAATGTCTTTGGCCCACAGCTGTTCTGAGTCCCGAGCACATTTGGCCCCTCTCCAACATGGCTACCAGCCAATTGCCCTCTCCTGGGTGAGGTCTGAACCCGGATAACTCACCAGCTGCTGCAGTCTGGACTGTCTACTGGTCTGTTCCACTGGTGTGGTTCCTCTTGGAGGCCTCTAGGGTTGCAAGCAGTCACCTTGCATCTGCAGGTTTAGCCCACCTTTCCCTCACCGAGATTCTGGGCTCTGGGAGAGGACATTGTGTGCTGCCTCCCTTCCCTTCATTAAAGGCTCTCTCTTCACTCTCCCTGTGGACTTCAATTCTTGACTGAGACCCTTCCTGGGTCTCAGGGACCCACTTCCCTCCTTCTTCTCCTCGCATCGCTATATTCCAGTGTTAGAACACCTCAGGCAATCTCAGAGTCTCAGAGAGGCTGTTTCCCTGCTGCTCACCACTCTGCTATCTTCCCGGAAGTCCTTTGAGGGTTTTTTAAATGCTGCCTCTGTCCTTCCACCAGGGTGGCCTCCCTGATCTCACCAGTGGCAGGCAACGATGTCCTGCTCTGATCCCTGTCCTCTTCTAGGGTGGCAGCAACAAGGCTGGCTGGGCAGTGCATTTGCTCCTCAGAGTGCAGTCTGGCACACAGTTGGTGCTCAATAAATGCAGATTACTGAATGGATGGATGAATGAATGAAGGTGGTCAGAGGTCTCCAGTACTGCAAAAAAGGCAGGGCTGGGTCGCTTCAGTGGCTGTACCCCTCTGCCCCATTCACCACCCCAAAACCGTCCTGCAAGGACTTACTGTGCACCACTCAACTCTAGACTCTCCATGAAGCTGAAATGAGGAAACTGAGGTACAGAGGTGAAGCACTCTGCCCAAGGTCACACGGCTAATAAGAGGCAGATCTAGAGTCAGACTGGGGTCCAACAGAAAGCCCAGGCAGGAGCCCTCCCCACTCCAAACACCCCTTCCACTGTGACAGCTCTTGCCTTGGGTGCCAAGGCCAGCTCTGTGTCAGACCCTGGATGAGCACATCACAGTAGCAGTCCTCACTATTCTTATCAGCCCCACGGCACAGACAGGAGAGTGGGCTCCAGGTCATTAACCTTCCTGGGGTCACACACACACTGAGCTGCACTGCAGCCAGGGCTCCTCCCCAAGGCCTCCTCTCCTGGTTTCCCACCTGTCTCGTCCTCTCCCAGACACTGGCCCCAGGGTTAAGGCCCTCTGCCCTGGGGGTTGGGGCCCAGCCCACTGTCCCTAAGTTCTCTTAAGCAGAGGCCTCTTGCCTCTGTCTTTGGATCCCCCAACACATTGGGACCCTAAAGAATGTGGAGTTTAACAAAGATGCCACACAAGGCCAATCATGCCAGCCTTGCTCTGCGGCGGGGCACTGTGCATCCTCAGCAAGGGGCCACCCAGGTCAGGCACAGCCATCAGGGTGACTTTGTGCTTAGGAGGGACCTGGGATTTAACCCAGGGGAGAGGGGGTGGGGGAAAGGGAGCAAGATCACAGGAAGGTCAGGGTCAAACCACAGGCCCCAGCAAAGAGGCGCACAGCAGGCAGACAGCATGGTGGAATCTGCCCCTCCCACCCCTGCTGGAGGGGTTCAGAAGTTGCCTATCCAGAGGGTAAAGCCAAGTTGAGGGGAGGCCACAAGGTGTCAGAAGGGTCAGGCTGGCAGGCTCCTAGCCGCCACAAAGTCTGCATCCTCATTCTCAGCGGGGTGGGGGGGTAGGGACGACGCATGAGACGACAGTCTCAGGCAGGCTCAGGAACCTGCCCAAAGTCACTGTGGGAGATGCCAGTCTTAGGCGACAGCAAGTAGAGGCCGGGACATCTGAGCCTGTAGCTCTCGGCTCCCAGTGTCGCCTCTACGCATGCTCACCAGCCAGTGTGGCACAGCCACAAGCCCACTCACAGCCACTGACTCATTATGTCCCCAGCACAAGCTTGGAGGTGGGGCTTGTCACCCCCTTCTCGTTAGTGTCAGAGCTGGCGCTCAGAGCTGCTCAGACACTGTCATCTGATTTCCAGCAAGATGATGACAATGGCCGAGAAGACAAGGGGTACCCGGATGACTGACGCCCGCTCTCTTCTCTGGCCCGGTCCCAGCCCCAGCACTTGGGAGATGTCGCAGCATGTGATCCTTCCAGCACCCGTGGAAGCCAGTTTTAGTGCTACTCCTCTATCCAGATGGGGAGACTGAGGCACAAGTCAGCCTCTTGCCCAGGGGTAGCCTAAAGCCCCACTAGCCTGTGGGGTACATGGTAGGCTGGGGCAGGATGGTAAAGCAGGAGCTCAGTAACCGCGGGTATGTCTCATCTATCTCATCTGGGCTCTGAACTCAGAGCTCCAACTCCCTTTGTCGTCTCTGACCAGCCCGCCACACATGAGCGCGCACGCACACGCGCGCGCGTGCACACACACACACACACACACACACACACACACACACACACGGCGAGTGCCTCTTGCTGCTGAACTCCAGCCACATTTCTCAGCAGTGTGGGATCCTGGCTGTGGGGAGCACAGCAGGAACCATGGGGACAGCTCCATTCCTCCCCCACTCACACCACCCCAAGGTAATACAAACACAGCTCAAGGTCGGGGCACGGACCTGCTACTGCCCTGGTTAAACAGCCAAGCGAGGGACAAATCCCAGCCAGAGCCCAGGGCACCAGAGAGAGGCCTCTCAGCAACCAACTTCATGGCCTGGCCGCAGGGGGACCCCTCTCTGCTCCCTCACCCACAAGCTTCCTGGGGAGCACTGTGCACAGGGTGCCCCCACCTGGGCCCCTCTCCATCTCACTCACCCCACCTCCTGAGCCCTCTCTTGCTCCCTGTCCAGCCTTCCTGCTCCTCCAATTCTGGGCTGGGGGCGCAGCACACAGGGCTCACTGCAGAGCAGCTCCCAGAGTCCCCCCGGGTGGGATGGGGAGGAGGATGGCCTGGCCCCGCCCCATGCCCCTTGGGGATTCTAGGATGAGATTGGGAATCCGAGCTCAGGCAGAACGCCTAGGGGGACTGAGTCAGAGCAGAGGTCTTCCCATAACCATTGCTCCCAGAGAGCTGGGCAGAGCGGGGCAGGGCAGGGGACATCACCTGGCTGAGACATGAGGCTGTGGCAGTGCGCTCCCTGTGGTCCTCCCTGCTGCTGGGACCTCGGCCATCTCGGGCTCCGGCAGCTCAGGTAGTGGAGAGATGACTGAGGGCCAGCCCACTTCCTGTGCAGAGCATGGAGGGGCCTGGGCCACCGGGAGGCGGAGAGTGGGTATGGTGAGAAAGCCCGAAACTCCTCGAGCTCCTAGGCGATAAGATCTCCCTTCCACGCGGGGGCGGCCGCTCACTGGGCTGTGTGACAATGCACACCCTCACACACACACACACGCACAGACACACACAACCCGGAGCCCAGGGCACTGACCCTCTGTGCCCCCCCATCTCACACAGATCACCAACCTGCCCGACATCCTGTCACACCATCAACCAAAACCCCACCAGGCCTCACACAAACACACCCCTAAGTGTCCCTAGTGCGTCCCACCTCGTGCCAGCCTGTAACAGGGCCATCCCTCTAAAATGCCTCTTTCGCAGTCTTCTAGGAAATCCCTTACTCAGTTTAGCATTCAGAGGCCGCTGTCTATTAGGGCTCCATGAGCAATCTGGTGGCCACTTACTGGTCATTTTAGATCTCTTTCTCTTCCTGTCAAGTCATGGTTCCTAATCCTTTTCCTGTGTTGTGTTTTGTTTTGTTTTCTGGTACTGAGGATTGAACTCAGGGCCATCGAACTGAGCTATATTTCCAGTCTTCTTTATGTTTTATTTTGAGACAGGGTCTCACTAAGCTGCTAAATTGTCCAGGCTGGGCTTGAACTTGTGATCGCCCTCCCTCAGCCTCCCAGAGTGCTGGAACACACATGTGTCCCACTATGCCTGTCTCTTTTCCTCTTTGGGGGATATAAGGAGGTTCAGCTCATGGCTTTTCTATTTTAATGATGAGTATTTATGGACTTCTCCTTAGAAAAATGTGCATCTATTTCTGCACAGTGTCACGGGCCCACGGAGTACTTCCACCCCCAGCATTCCGCTCTTTCTCTCCTGGACTTCAATAGCCCTGCCTCAGAAGGTTTTATGGAAAGCTTCTGCCTCCTCTGAGAGCTGGCAGGGCAGTTCCACAGAGCCTCCCATCTGCACAGATGTGAGCAAGTGAGACCCCAAAGAGAATCAAGCCCAGTGTCCTCCTGTGAACCCCAGAACAGAGCTGAGGAAGGAGATGCATAGGCAGCTCTGCCCAGGATGAGTGGCCGGGGTCCAGGCTGCTTAGCAACTGGGTGACCTTGAGTGAACTTGGTCTCTCTGTGCTTCAACTGCCACACCTGTAAAATGAGGGCTGGCAATTCCTGCCCGGAACAGTGAGAGGACTGAACCATAGTGTGTGTAATGCACCTAATGTGGCCGCACACAGGAGGTTTGCAGTCAAGGCCAGTGCCCCCCCAAACTTCTGTGTTGGAAACATAGTTCCCAAATTCACACACTGATGGTATCTGGAGGTGGAGTATCTGGGAGGCCATTAGGGTTAAATGAGGTCATGAGGGTGGGGCCCCATCAGGAGAGAAAGACCTGAGCGGGCACACTTGCTCCCTCTCGCCGCTATGTGGTGGCCTCCACCATGTGACACTGCAGCAGGGAGGTGTCACCAGGGGCCAGCGCTGTGCTCTCGGATTCCCAGGATCCAGAACCATGAGCAAAATAAACCTCTGCTCTCCATAAATCACCCTGTCTGCAATGTTCAGTTACAGTAACAAAAAAGGTACTCTCCTCTATGCTCTTCCCCTTTCTCCTGTAAGGTTTTCCAGCTGCAGGAGAAGGTAATAAACACAACCAGCACAGGAGTGTAACAGCCACTGTTTATTCAGCAGAGAATATTTCTGGAAGCTTCTCTAGAAGCTAGGATCTCAGGCTTCCCCAGGGAGGAGGCCAGAGGAGGAGTAGGAAGGGGGCTTTGCACTGTAGAACCGTTTGCACACTTAAACTTATTTCCTCTTTCCCAGATAAATGGATTCAGTTAAAAGGTTTAGAAGCAACTGTAAAGACAAAACACAACCCCAGGCAATGCCAGAAGGCCCAGATCCAACTTGTGACAAGCACAGCCTTGTCCAGGGGATGACATCAGCCAGTCTAGGACTCTTCCTCCTCCTTCGTCCTTCTTTCATTCATTCACCAAACACTTCCCAAGCATCCGAGATGCCCAAAGGCCAGGCCAGGCGCAGAGGAGGTGATTGAGCCCCAGGTCCCTGGGACATATGACATCAGGGTGGCCTTGCCGATCAAGGGACAACCCCCTCTGTGTTCCCACCCCAGACCAAGGCTCCCCCTATGCCAAGGGCCAGCCCAGACAACATCAGGTGGTAAGGAGAAGTGGGGCTGGGCAACCTCCTCACAACCCTTTTTCAGGAAGTGTTGGGGCTGTGGGAGATGTAAGAGGGAGCACAGAGAGAAGGGGGCACATGCACCTACGCCCTAGCTGTGGTCCTCCTGAGTGGCACTGGACTCCATTTCCCAGCCTCCTTTGCAGCCTCCTTTGGGGACTGAGCACAGACTAGGGGACATGTAAGATAGTGACTTATTCTACTTTGAGCCCTAAAATCTTACATTTAGCCCACCTGCTCCTCTATGCTTCTTTATCCATCCCTCCCCGTCTCTCCTATCTCTCTCCCCATCTTTCTGCATTTCTCTTCCTCTGCCACTCCACTCCCCTCCCCTATCAGAATCGAGTGGGGGAGCACCCCGAAGCAAAAGTCCTCCGCACTACCCAGCAATCCATCCTGGACTGTAATATGAGAGAGATTAGCTTTGCCTGTGTTGGGCCTCTGAGATGGGGGGCTGCTTATCTGGGCGGTCAGCAGCTGTACCCTGACTGCACAGCCAGCCCAGGTGTCTGCCTGGTCCTAATGCCAGGTGAGGAAGGGAGAGACAGCAGGCAGGTGGGGCCCAGAGGTGCAGGTGCAGGTGCAGGGAAATGTGCTGGCTCTCTTCAGCCCCTCCTGGTCAAAGCTGTGTGGTCTCCCACCAGCCAGGACCCCTGGGCCCTCCTTCCGATCTTCACTCCTGATTTTCCCACCAGAATGCCTGTCACTGGCTACTGTGAGTTCCTAGCCACACATCAGATGGTAATCAAACATGATCTCCTTCTTGAGGCTGGTGACAACTGTCAGCTTTGTCTGCCCTCTTCTTCAGGGCCCTCTAGAGGGAGGCTCCCCCAAGCGCTTCCCGGATGGTACCAATCAGCTGAGGGTTCTTGCTCAATTCATACAGAAACCACAAATTGGCAAAGTGTAGCTCTTTTTTTGGGGGGTGTACAGGGGATCAAGCTCGGGACCTTGTGCTTGCCAGGCAGGCAGCGGAACGACTGAGCTAAATCCCCAGCCCAAGTTTAGCTCTTTTAAGGTCAACAGCTCTGAGCTTTGAATGGCAGTGGCTACGGGCTCTTAGTGTTAGTGCCCCACCTTGTCGCTCAGAGCCACCAGCTACTGCAGGCCTCAGGAACTCTTTCAGCCACCACGGATGGCATCTCCTGACAATTCCCTGACTGTTCTCGAGCAGAGGCCTTTAGTGTTACCCGCTCTTAGTGTACCAGCTTAGCCTGCTTGACTCAAGATAGAAATCATAAATGGGCAAAAATGTGTTGCCCAGAAGAGGCTTTTTTTAGACATACAATGCAGCATAAAGGGGAACAGTGCATGGGCTGAACATGCTAAGGGTATGGAAAGGTCACTCATATAGGAAAAAGCTGGGCTTGTGCAAGCACATTGCCACACTTTCTGTTTGGTCGCCGGTTACACAGGGCCCCTCACAGACCTGACTGAGGAGGGCTGCAGAGGGGCGGGGCCATCCTGAGGGGCTGCAGGGCAGAGCCATCTAGGCTGGGGCTGGGGCTGAAGCCACTGCAGCCAAAACAAGAATCTCCGGGAGCAGCTGTGGGGCATCTGGTGCAGCTGCGTGGCTATGTGGTGTTTAGGGCAGAAGAAAATCGGCTCCTGTCTCACTATCTTCCCCAACCTCAAATCGTTGACAGCTTCCTGTCATTTGCAGCACATTTATTGTAATACATACATTCTCATGCTTAACCTACAAGTCATGAACAAGCTGGTCCCACCCCCAAGTGTGAAAGTGTCTCCCCCACTTCCCCCCCTGCTCATCACTCTGCTGGTCACCAACCCTTCTGCTCCTGCTGCCCCCTCTCATGCGCAGGATGCTGAGCCTCCCAGGCCACCCAACCAGGATGTAGAGGAGCAGAGCAGACTCCGGGTCTCTCCCAGAGGACATCATGTCTCTCTGAGGCACCGTGACAAGGAATCCAGACACTCCCCTGACCGCAGGGGCCCGGCAGAGTCCACCCGGCCTCCCAGGGCCCACACCTCTCTCTATACAGCCACTCTTCCTGTGCCCCCTGCACCCTCCCCCAGCATGTCTTCATACGGACCCATCGTGAGCAGACTTCCCCGCAGCTCTCTCACCACTGCACCTAAGGACCCCAATTTTACAGGGCCACGGGACACACGTCTACGAGAGTTTTCTGGCTTCTGTGTCCCCTCCTTTTTTGTTGTTGCTTTTTTGACACAGGATCTCACTATGTAGCCCAGGCTGTCCTTGAACTTGTAGCAATCCTCCTGCCTAAGCCTCCAAGTGCTGAGATCAGCCATGTGCCACCACATCTGGCTCAATGTCCCTTCCTGACTGTGACTTTTCCTTTGCCCGTTAGAGGGCAGCCTCCCATGGAGACTAAGCCAGCTGGGCCCTCCTCAGCTCTGCAGGTACCCAACACTCCTGTCCCTGTCCCTGTCCCTTGAAGTCCTGGCTTTTGGCTCCTGGCATTTCTCTTCACTCTGACTTCTGAGAGATGTCAGGAGCTGTGCTGGCCTCTGGTTCTTACTCCATCTCTTCCCTGGAGCCTCTGTCCCTCTGCATCTGTGCCCATGGCCCATACCTGCACTTTGTCATCATAGACCAGGACCAAACCAGTCCTCACCCCCTTCCACCCTACAGTGGTGTCCCAGTTAGGACTCATCCAGCTTGCCTGTGTCAAAAGAGATCAGAAGACAAAAAACAGTGTACTAAAATAAGAGAGGATTTTATTTCTGTCCATATAAAAGTAGTCCGGAGGCAGACAGTCTGGGCCTGGTGGGGTGGCTTTCCAAGGTCAGAATCCTGAGCGAATTCTGTCTTGCTACTGGAACATCCTCAGTATCTTCCTACTGCCTCCTCAGACATCAAGAGAG